AACTTCATCACCAATCACCACCTCAAACACACTGATTACATCCAGCAATCACGCTCCCTTCGTATCCCCGCTGTCACTCTCCCTGATCGTAAACCCCTCCTCGATTATCTCACCGGGAAAACTGCCTCGTCCGACTCCATTGAATTCCTCAAATTCCCTCAGCCCAATGAAACTACGGTTCCTGTTTCTGTTTCTGCTGCTAGTCTTGGTAACGATGAGAATTTTTTAACGGATGTTAGGGTTTTGGAAAATCGAAACCCGATTGAGCTGATTAGAGCTGTAGAGAAGCCTTTGAAGGATAGGGAGTCGATTTTGATGTGTAAGAACCGGGATTTTTACAGTGTTTTTACGGCAGCGTTGCGTAGAGATGAGGAGCGGCAGCGGGCAGAGTCTTTGCAGAGGAAATACGGTTTGGTAGCGAAGAATCGGATAGAGAGAGGGGGTTTTGGCGGTGGTGATGAATTAGGGTATGATGGTGGGCCGAAGGCGAAAATGCATTTGAAGGGAAGCAAGATAGGGGAGGGTGTGCCGATTATTTTGGTTCCCAGTGCGTTTTCGACTTTGATTACTATTTATAATGTGAAGGAGTTTTTGGAGGATGGGGTCTTTATACCAACTGATGTGAAATTGAAGCAGATGAAGGGGACGAAACCTGATTGTATAACGGTGCAGAAGAAGTTTAGTAGGGATAGGGTAGTTACGGCCTATGAGGTGAGGGATAAGCCTTCTGCATTGAAGGCGGAGGATTGGGATCGTGTGGTGGCGGTTTTCGTGTTGGGGAAAGAATGGCAGTTCAAAGATTGGCCCTTTAAGAATCATGTTGAGATCTTTAACAAGAGTAAGTTTTGAATGATTATGTGCAGCTGAATTATTGCCAAATTGTTTGCGAAATGATGATAGATTCTTGCAACAGTAGTTCTGAAATGGATCAGAATAGTAAGACTAAAAAGTAGCGATTGTTTTGGGGTTAATTTTCGCTTAGAATCTAAAGTTAAATTTTATACTTAATGCAATATCCATTTCCTGCCCTTTATTGCAGTTGTAGGATTTTTCTTGCGTTTTGAGGATGATAGCGTGGAGTCAGCGAAGACCGCAAAGCAGTGGAATGTCAAGATTATTTCGGTTAGCACATTAATGATTGTTCATTTAGTCCTTATCCTTAAAACTGTCAATTATATGCTATGACAACAATTTGCCTTTTATTTTGTATGGTTGTTATGTGATCACGCCCAACTATACCTTAAAAAAAGGACTAAGCGCTCGCTGCAAATATAATCCGGTTTACAAGTTCGGAGTCGAATCCCACAGAGAACTAAGGCTTAGCTGCAGATGTTCAATATTGCCAAGAAGACAAGCTTGAACAATTCCTAAGTTATAAATATTAAGATACTTATGTATAACTAATTAACTAACAAATTAAAATAGAAAATTAACAACTAAAGATACTAAGGGTTGAAGACAAGATTAAAGAGGTCTAGAGTTATGATTTGTCCAATTGTCGGAATCCTTCCCGCTATGCCTTCTATAATTTCACCTAAGTATTCTCTACCGATCGTGAGTACTTCGGGTGTCATAATTCTCTTCCGAGCAACTACCACAATTTACTAGACATATTCTTCCGAACTATGCTAGCTGACACTAATTCACTGTTCACTAAGATCGCACCAAGGTTTCGTTATTCCTAATCCCACCTTTAAAGTTCCTCACATATGTCAGGAGTGATGTTGTTCAACAACTACCTAAATATGTACCCTTTTCCAAGCAATACATACTAAATAGGCATAGTCAATTGATGGCCATTCAATCAACAACAATAAACACGTAGTTGAACAAGTAGAGAAATCCAACGGCTCAATTATATAAAAACATAACAAGAATTTATCCTACAAAAGGTTCTACTCAAAACTCTAGATAACAAATTAGCTATTCATAATAGTATGCATAACTACAATCCTAGAATTCATAACCGATAATGGAAATAGGAAGAAGGAAGTGAAAAACTCGTAGAAGAATTCCCCGCCTTGCTCTTAGTATGTTCTTGCCTCCTTAGGTCGAATCCCAGTCTCTCCTCAAAAGTGGTGTTTAATGACTATTTATATGTGTAGGGAAAAGGCCTAGACGAAATAACCAAGTCCAAAACCAAATAGGAGACAAAATAGGCATGAAATCCGGAACACCCTCGCGACAGACCGCGCGTCGCGAGGCAAAACGCGCGGCGAACCTTGCTGCACCCCTCGCGTCGCGAGGCAAAACGCCAGGAAATGGTCTTGCTTCGCCTGCTCTAACGCGAGCTTGTACCCTGGCGTCGGCTGCTGCTGCTTCACTTACCAAGTTGCTGCCTAACTTCTTTCTCCTTTCTCCTTTCTCGTTTCTTACTTTTCAAATTCTTTTGTCAATTGTCTTTCTTTGTCTTCTTTTATAATACTCAACTTCAATCATTGTCCCATAATTAAATAATCATAAATCATTTTTGTAGTGTATAAAATACACATAAAATCTTTAGTTCGCTCCCAATTTCATCTCCAAAGTACCTATACATAAAATAGACTCAATTAAGAACAAATATAGTATAGTTTAGCATTAAAACACCTAAATGCAAGATAAGTAATGCATTAAAAATATATAATTATAGTCAAACATTATTATGTCTTACCAATATTGCCAATTGAATTTGCAGATAAGTAAAAACAAACGCCACCAGGACAGAGCTGCAGCACTTGAGGTGTGGGAGAAACTTGAAGAATTTATGAGGTCTCGCTCACATTGATGCATGTTGAGGCTCTAGGTAGACAACTTGCTATATGCTGCATTCCCTTTTATGGCTCTCTTTTTATTATTGCAACAATAACTTGATTAACCTAATTTTTTCAAATTTGAGAAGCTAAATGTTTGGTATTTTGCTTCCTTTGAATATTGTGGTTATATTTATCAGGTTGACAGTTTGAGTCTAAGGAGGTTTTGATGCTCTAAAATGCTATTAAACTCTTTCAAATAGTTATGCTGGTTTTGAATAGCTGACTGTGTATTATTAGTATCTTCAAATTAAAGGTGTTTGGGACTTTGTATTTTTTTCTCAGTCATTTCCATACAGTAGGAAATTAACTATCTGATTTCTGGTAAGCCATATTTACCTTGCGGCATGTGCTGATTTCAGTCAGGTCCAAATGTATCATTGGCCTCTTTGTCATCTGAAACGATTCTTGTTTCCTAATCAACGGAGATAAATATAAGAGTTACTTTTTAATGGAGCATGATTGATTTAGAGGATTCCTGTAGTCAGACGCTTACTAGTTTGGGATTGAGAATTGGCCGTAGTAGTTTCCGGCATGTAAAAGAGCGGTCTCACCTGGACATCATTTTGACTTTATTGTTACATTGCATTCTAGGTCTTTAATGGGTGAGACTTGATTGATGAATTATTACAATTTGGCACCACCGAGAGGGAACATGCTGCTATTGAGGCCTTAGCCTAGATCTTAAGGTTGAGGTCGCGAGAATAATAAATATTACGTCAGAGCTGTAGAAATATGGCTTTCTTTCGTCAAACTTGCATATTCCCTTTCCTCCGCCTGTATGTGAGTAGGTTCGTGTACGTTCCACCCATTGTTGCCATGAGTAGTACTGTTGTTTTTCTGGGGTAAAAAAGGACAGTCATGGTGCTATAGCTCCAGTTATTCTCTTCTTTGATTTATGCCATTTCTCATTCAGAAATTGGAGGTTCTGTTGCAAGTTACTCTGATATTTTGGGTGAAGTGAAATGTTCTTTCTTAGCTCTCCTCAATGCGTACTTTGTGGTTTTATGCTCTACTTCCTGTAAATTCTCAAACATTTTAAAAGAATATACACTTGAAAAAAATGTCATTTTTACATATGAACCAAGTAAGAATCAGTTTTACTGGCTTTAGATGAATCTTTGCTTATTTGGCGAGTTCTGATAGTGCCATAATACTGTCATTTAAGTTTTGTTTAAACTGTAGTAGGTTTAGTTTGGAATAAGCTACTTTTTGCCTACTTAAGTGAAGGAAAACTTACCTGGTGGATGATAAGATTGGGCCAGGGATATTTATCAGAAAAAGGGGTGAGGGCGGTGAGGATGCAATTCATTTGATTTATTGCATGAATAAAACATGGATGGAATTCCTCTTCTCGTTTTTTATTTTTTTGTGAAGGAAATGTTTCATGGAATGTAGTTTATGTTTCTGGTTAGTATGGTAAATGTCCAGCAAGGATAGGGACTCCCATATATGGAGAATTGGTCATAACCATGGTTATAGGTGACGGAGGAAGCATGAAAGTCTAATTTTCCTGTTTCCCCTACCATTTCCAATAAGAGATTGAATAAGATGTGACATCTTTTCGTCTGCGTCCACCGTTTTACCCCTGTTAGTCATGACCAACAAAAAGATTCTGTCACGTCACTCTGCTGCTAGTTCCAGCGCAGAGGAGTGAGTTGTGACATTAGTGCCAAAGTTTAATCTGTAAAAGTAGATTGTTACAGGAATTCGTGGGACTTTTCCTGTGTTTAAGAGTAATGCAGAATTAAGCTGCTTCATAGTTATTTTTTTTGTTTTTCTTTTGTAGTACAACAATTTAAAGGTTAAGTATATTTTGTAACACTAGAATGCTTCAAGTAACATGATATCTTGATCTTGGTTGCACCAGGTGAAATTAGATGACAAGTGGCCTACAAAACTGGACAGTGAAGACTTCTGTTAGACTTGTGAGCCTATAATGGAAATACAGTTTCGTCAGATGAATATCCTCCTTTGTAGGTTTGACGAGGTCTTCTATTGGGGTATATACACCCTTTGTTGTAGATGTGTGAATCCTGTGTAGGCATACCTTTCTTGTAGGCCAACAAAAATTATTTTGCTAGTTTTTTTCTGTAAATTTATTAATTTCTTTGAATGTGAAGCTTTTTTTTTTGGGTGTTTGCAATTTATTTATTCTCGAAAGATTAGTTAAACAGTAGACTATTCACCTGAATGGATCCAACTAATGCGCACCAAAGATTATAGAATATTATTAGCAATATTGCTGGATGAAAGAATATGCAATACAATGGCGAATTAGCCTGGTAGAAAGCTGATTGCTGATATGAGCTAATGTTTAAAAAGTAAAAGCACTCTTCCGTAACAGACAGGTTAGCTAACCATCAAGAGTACAATAGATAAAATACATTGGAAGTCTACGGCAGGTAACAATAGTCAGGCCATGTTGATAATTGAAGCATAAGAGGCAATAAAGAGAAAGCATAAAGAAAGAGGCGCTGCCATATTGGTTGAAGTTGCATCGTTGGAACCGCCTTGTGATGGCGGTACTGAATTAGAACCGTGTCCTGTCAACATAGTTGATGGCATTATGTCAAGCATTTTGTAAAACCAAAATTTTACTTTCTTGAAGTAGTGGCAGAATTAAAAAAAAGAAAAAAAACGTAGCGTAGCTAGTGCATAGAGAATTTGGTGGTCCAGCAGGAGAGACCAACTGTTCTTAGGGAGCAGTGTCAGGATTGTATGCTTCAGAGGTTTAAGTTTTATGGGTTCAATCTGTAAAAATTTTAGCGTTAAACTCCTTGTATTTTTAAAGTTATGGGTTCATATTGCTATGCATTGCAATATTAATGAATTTTTACACATAAATTTATGCTCCGCGCCAAGAATTAAGGACTGGGTTCAGTAGAACCCGGTACCTATGCCTTGCATCTGCCTCTGATGCTTTGTGTGTTAATAAGTTAAATGCGGGGATTTTAGAATGAAGCTTCTTCTTACCATTGCAGCGGCTAGCAGGTGGAGTCTGAACTTTGCAAGCAGTAGTGAGGGCCGAAGCCTGAGTCTGGTTAATGTTGAGTCCCATGTTGGAGTCACCCCCATTGAGGACCTGACAAAAGCATTCTGGCTTCTTATCAACCACAGTGCTAAGCTGCGTGCAGCAACCTGAGAATTGCGGCGAGGAGTTCCATGTGATGTAGGTCATGCAAGGTACCATGCTGACCAATACGTTCGTGCAGTCATCGCTTTCTTGAGCAGTTACTCCTGCCCAGATCATCGCCAACACAATCAAGACTGCTCCCCTTTCATTCCTTTGACTTGCCATTCCTTTGATACTCAGGAAACCTCGGAGAAATGACGAGAAAAGTGTTTTCTATCTAGGAAAAGTTGATCACGTAATCTTGATCGAGAAAAACTGTGCGCTTGGTCTATATAGGAAAAAGGAGGTGGAAGACACGAAGAGTACTCAAAGAACATATTTTGGTATTATCTACCATTAAAGAAAACAGGTTTTCACAGATAGACGTTGATATTCGTTTTGATATTTTATATAGGAATTACTAGGTAGAAGAGGACAAGTGGTTAGTTATATGGCTGATCAACTTAGGCCAACACTCTGTACCATGATTTGTTTGGTGGTAATAGAAAAACCTAAGGATTCTGCCCAAAGGCGAAGACCTTCAAGAACAAAGTGTAAATCTATCACATGCTTCTAACTTCTGACTCTATCCACAATTTTCTTCAAACTTTTAGCGGAAACAGTAAATTAGACTTGGGCTAGGAGATCTCAAAAATATGCTGGTCTTTCCACTTCAAGATATATAATTGTAATTTAGTTCATTAACTTTTCAAGTGATATTTGCCACGTAAGTGAATTTATTTATGCATTGAAAGGGAAAACCTAGGGAATCTGTAAATTATATGATAACATCTTCATCTTTGGACAACTCTTTTTATTGGTCCTTTTTCTTAAAATTTAAATTTAATTTTCACAGCTTGAGCCATGATTCACTTCTTTTTCTCCTGAAGAAAATTTATTGCTTCTTTTCGAGACTATTTTTTAATTTTTTTTAGGTGCTAGTATTTCCTAATTATCGGCATGCCTAAATTCCTACCAATATTTATGAGTTACAGACAGTAAATTCGTGAATGTGCTTCTTGAATATAAAGCAGAAGGTCAAACTGAAACTTTACAAATGTTCACAAACTTTTGGAGTTCATTGCATTGCTAGGACAGTAGAATATAGAGAGAACTGGCAAATTGAGAAGGATGCACAATACACTATAATATAAAATCACTTCACAACATAACATGACATTACATAAATACATTACTTCTTTGGAACTCCTAAATGAAACTCAGAAACTTCAGCATAGAAACCATGAAATGAGAGAAGGCTCCAACAATTTGAAGAGGGAGATTTAAGGGGCTTCCACCATAGGTACTGCTGGTCCCTGTTGTCTTCGAGCCTGCTCAATTCATCGATAAGTAATTAAGATGTCATAAATAGACAATCATAGATAATTAGTAGTTTAGTAATATGACCTCACAAATGTACAATCAAATTTATGTGGATATATGCTTAATTAACAGTTGTAACTCGTGAATTACTATAATTGATCTTCGCTATTTTTCATTTCTTCTATTTACTGTCTGCTTCCTAGCTAATAATATTAGTACTTTAATTTAAAACAAATATCATAACTTATCATATATTTGCTCTTGATTAGGACATGAACTATGCTAAAAGGGTTACATACTCTGGTGAAATTACACCCACAATCTATATATAGTTGCAGATCTTTCGACCTGAGTTGTTGTAAATTGCTTCAACTTTGTAGACTTAGGTTAATGAATTGGTCTTAGTACTCTGGTACGTGAGTGCAATGTTCATGACTTAATTACCTTAAAACGATGAACCAGTTTAAGAATCCTCTGTTCCGTGGGAAGTACTGAACCCTCTGGCGAACCCATTGGCATTGGAGACATTGCCGGTCCATTACCAGCTGTATCAAATACTATTATTAGCAGACAAATTAATTATGCATCAATAGAGAAAATATTGAATGAAGGTAATCCATAAACACTTTGTAGTACAGGTGCAATATGCATACCGACTTATAGTCTGGATAGCGCATGTCTCAAAATCATGTTAATTTACTACCTTCGTTAGTGTTGATTGAGCATAAAGTTTAAGAAAGAAACACTTTTGACTCTTATCAAAAGTATTGACATTTCTATGTCATTAAGGGTAAAATGAGAAGTTAAAAGTTGAAAAACTTCCAAATATAAAAATGTATCCTTTTTGTTGGAATATACTAAAAAAGAAAGATGAGAGTGCATGCGATATAAAATGAAATAGATGGAGTACTAGCTAATAGCCTAATACTAGTATTTCGTAAATTACTTACCATAACATCTACTAACAGGAGGAGTTTGCAGCTTGCATGCACCAGGCAGTGCAAGCGCAAGAGTTTGATTAATTTGGACGCCCAACGACGAACCACCTCCATTAGCAATGGTGCAAAGGCACCTGGGCTGCGACTGCAGCACGCCAGAGAGGGCGGAACAGCAAGAGCTGGACGGTGTTTTTGAACTTCCAGTGACATAGCTAAGGCATGAATACATGCTAAAGAACGCGTTCATGCAGCTGGATTGAGCCATTGCTCCTGTTGAAATGATGCTCACTATTGCAGCTAAAGCCATGCAAATTTTCATCCCTCTCGATCCCATCTTTTGGTCTTGCGACAGATATGTTTATAATTAATTTTTGCTCACAACAACTAGGGGAAAACCAAAGAAATATTAGACTAGCTAGTTGCTTTGCTTCTTAATTTGGTGGAGTGGGGGGCTGGAGATTTATATATACATTCTGCTAGGGGTGATTATTTGTCTTCTGATTACAGAAGGGAATACATTGGTAACTAATAAAGATTCATGAGGTAAGATTTCCAATAACGTGTCATTAATTCGGTGTCATTAACCCGTTAGTATAAGCACTGGCTGATGACCTAACTCCTAAGTAATGGAGTAGATAACTTTGTTGACTTATTATGTTGTTATATATCAATCTCTTTTTCATTTGGGGCGTCCGATAATAAAAATATTAGGACTATCTGAGGCAGGAAATTACTATGTCGATAAGAATTTATAAAAAATATGATCTGGAAAAATGCAATGTAGGAAAAGAGAGGTATATATATGTATGAAGCAGTATATATAGATAATCTATGTATTTGAAACATATTCGATAGTAGAGAATTCATTCAGCAGCAACCTTTTCCATTTACCTGCATGCTAAGAGTAAAAATCAGGTTCAAAGTAGTTAAAGGACCAAATATATAGCAGAATTTCACTTTTTAGTTGATTATTCCTCTGACTTTTTACTAGACTTCAGTTCAAAAAAGAAAAAACAAGAAAGGAATTAATACATCTAACTGATAAAAACATACTATATATAAATAAAACTATTCCCTCTTGTCCATTTTAATAGATTTTTTTTTTATTGTTTTTACATATTAAGGAATCCACCTTTTCACATTAATTAATAATAAAATTGATCATATTATCCTTTACTATGCCTCTTTAATTTGTTCATTAGAGATATAATAGATACTCCGAAAGTCTTTACTTTCAAGGGCAACTTTAAAAAAAAAAGTTAATTCCTTCTTGATACTTAAATAAATCAAATATTATGGACCACGAAAAGAAAGACCAAAAATCAATTAAAGCGAACCGGGGTTAGTATTAAAGAACTTCCGAAATCCAAATGCAATTTATATTGAGAGAGAGAGAGAGCGAAGTCTTGCAAGATGACCTAATTAAACACTCCATCATTTGAAGTGATTTGTTAAGGTAGTTGAGCTCCAAAACTACCACTTTGAACCTCCATATTTCTTGTTTTTTTCTTTTCCTTTTGATCTTATATCCCAATTGATCATCTATAAATCACTTGTCATCAAAATCTTCCACATCCAACATCAAGCTTCTATAGAATCATCTTTCCTCCTTGCACGTTCCCTTTTAACTTCTCCAAGTCTTTTAAATTCAAACAAAAATGTTAGTGTTAAAATTCTTAAACTATTGGTATCAATTTTGGCTATTATTTTAAGCAGTCAATTGTTTCAGGGCAGATTAGTACAGCATGTAGCGGCGCAATGTTACGTAGCTTTAGCCCTTGCATAAACTTCACTACTACTGGTGGGAGCAATTCTTCACCAACTTCAGAATGTTGCCGATCTCTCAAGTGTGTCATGAGTAATGGCACAGATTGCCTCTGCCTTATTGTTACTGGAAATGTTCCTTTTCGCGTACCCATTAACAGGACATTAGCAGTTTCCCTACCCAAAGCCTGTAACATGGCTGGTGTCCCCCCTCAGTGCAAAGGTAATTAATCAAGTTGTTTCTTATTTGTTTTATCAACCAAGTTCTTATTACTGACTTTTCTTGAACATTTTTGTGACTACCTAGTTTTTCTTTTGAGCGACTTTTCTTGAAAGTTTTCGTGGGTTGGCGACTCTACTTTTTATTTGTAGTGACTAACCCAAAAAGCGACTTCACATCCTTTAGGAGTCTGCCACGAATAAGTCTATTCATGGCGATCTTCTAGTCGCTCCCACGAAAAGTCTTTTGAGACGACTTTTCCACTTCATGTGGAGATTTTAGCCCCACAAAAAGTCTCACTTGTGGTCATACTTGCTTCAATTTGTAGCTTCTTTGCTGGAGTATATTGGCATTGTAAGGTTAAAATGGTCATTTGACTTGGAAAATTTAGCTTGATATTGAACTAATATGCATTCTGAAGCAAAAACTTCACAGTCCGTTTCATGGTTGGTCTACTCTGTATAAATATTGGAGTGAGATTACCTTTAAGAACAATTTTTTTGTCTTTTCTTTTCTTACCCTTGAGAGGTTATTGAATGTTGAGCAAATTGATTTGGGCACTAACTCTGAATTGTATTACTAACATTGCAGCATCTGCTTCCCCTATTCCAGCTCCAGGTACCAAAAGCAACTCTGGTTCTTTAATTTCGCACTAGCATTTCCAGATTTTAGTAACACAACAAAATAAAAATAAGATTAGATCTTCAATTGCAAAAATATTGGGATTAATGAAAACTTCTGGCTGACAGGTCCAGCTGCCTTAGCACCAACAAAATCTCCTAGATCATCTCAAAGGCCTAAGTCACCTCCATCTCCTAGTCCTGAAGGTAATTAAAACTCTGATTTTTCTGGTGAATTGAACTGAACTTGCTGAATTTTGATGTCTAATATGGCTTATGGATGCTATGCATATGGCAGCTGCTAATGTTCCTCAGCCATTCACACCTTTTGGACCAGTGGCTGATACAACACCAGGTAATCCTAATACAGGTTTAACACCACCTTCCCCAACAGACAGCTTTGGAAACNAAAAAAAAAAAAGAATTAGAGAGCTTGCTTGTAGTTTATAATCATTCTTTGGAGATGTCTATACATGAGTTTTGCACTGTTTTGATAATGTCCATTGTGGTCAAGTTTCATGGAATATAATGAATATGAGGTTTCAAGATGTCAGTTTTGACGCATATGTGGAGCGTGAATTTTTCACCCAACCACTTTATGTAAATTTGACAAGGCATTTTGGAGCTTGAATTTTTGAAAGTGCAAAAACTGCATGTCCTAGTACAGAATCTGCGTGAAATCTATTAGTTTGTACAACCTCCAAAAGTTAAAAGCCTCTTAGCTATTACTGCAGTTATTTCCAACCATCAGACCATTCAGCTTCATCCATAACAGGGTCTGGGATGTATTCTGACTGGTGAACTGTACCACATTGAACCTCCGGAGATGGCTGAAGATTCTGTTTCCCTTCGTTTTCACAGGTGCCTCCGTCGTTCCAATTCTTGGCTTGGTCATAATCCCAATTATTAACTTGAGCTACTTCACAGTCCCAACTTTTAGCTTCTGCTCCTTCACAGTCCCAATCGTTAGCTTGTGCCCCTTCGCAGTCCCAACTTTTTGCTTGTGCTCCTTCGCAGTCCCAACTTTTTGCTTGAGCCCCGTCATCACACCAATTATTTGCTCGTCCAGAATCCTCTTCAAGGATCTCCAGTCTTTCAGGTAAGAAGCAGCCCTTATAGGAGCCATTGTCTGCACAATACCATAAAAGCTTGTTCCAGTAGGGGTCCTGCCATATTGTACACGTCAGTAAATATTTGCATTTATCACTCATAAATAGCAATTTTGGCAAAATTAGTCTCATGATTCATAAGTTTAAGCTCCACATATGCCCACAACAATTCAACTATTATGAATAACTGTAACATTTAGCTCCCTGAGAATATTCAACTCCTCGGTTACCAACAATAGATATTACCAGGATCAGGAAAATAAACAAAAAGGATAGACAGAAACTTCAGCTTTACTGTGGCATATCAAATCTAGATTGATACTACTAGTTGCAATAGCAGAAATTAATACAGAATTACCTTGCAGATGATATGTGGATTCCCAATAACTACAAGCAACGATCTGGCTCTTGTAGCAGCAACATTAAACCTTCTCGGATTGCTTAAAAATCCTAAATAGTGGATTCTATCAAAATCATTGTGTGTTACAGTTGATCGGACGGTCGAGATAATAATAACTTCTCTCTCCTGACCTTGGAATTGCTCAACACTACCGACCTTTACATTAGCCCAATCGAAACTCTCAAGGGCTTTTCGTATTTTCAGTACTTGTTGTCTGTAAGGTGTTATCACCCCAATATCTTCCTCTTTCAGACCTTTGTTCTCTATCAGATCCCTTATGATCTCTACTACCTTGCTTGCCTCAATCCNGTACTTGTTGCCTGTAAGGTGTTATCACCCCAATATCTTCCTCTTTCAGACCTTTGTTCTCTATCAGATCCCTTATGATCTCTACTACCTTGCTTGCCTCAATCCTATTGAACCATGATGGGTTGTTTCCTTCCCTTTCATCACAACCTTGGATACCGATGAAAAGCAACGGAAATTCCTTGTTTGGAAGCAGGTCCACCCAAGTCTGAGCAGAAGCTTTATCATCTTCTTTACATGCGATCAACTCTCCTCCATAAAACATTTCTGAGGGAAGCTGCAGAATTGCTGGATGACACCGATAGTTTCTTACTAGTCTGGTAGCATAATTTTCGTTGAGATCACCATATAACTGGCATTCAAATAACCTTTCCATATATGACGTCCCCAACCCAAAATTTTCAGCATCTTTTGAAAAAACTATGGGACCAAGTTGCAGTGGATCACCAGCAAGTACCACTACTGTCTCGTTCCTTAAAAGATGCGACAGAGGAACCATGGTTTCAGGCTCCGATGCCTGTCCTGCCTCATCCAAGAAAACGTGAGAGAAATGTCCCCGTTTAATACCTTCAGCATAAAGAAGAGATGCACTAGCATATGTAGATATAATAATCCTATATCTTCTAAGGTCCCTGAGAAGAGGACACTTGAAGGCATCAACTTCAACATTGCAAAAGCGAATGTGACTAGGATTCACGTCGTCTAGAGGACGTGTGAGTGCATTCAGCCTAAAAATCTCATGGTCCTTCACTTCAACATTCTGCTGACTGACAAGTTTCTCAAGTATATGGTCTGCAGCACTATTTGAAGGTGCGCAGACGAGAACACGAGCATCTTTCCTCGTAACGTGTAGCTGGAGAATAGCTTCTATAAGAGTCCTTGTTTTGCCTGTACCAGGAGGCCCATGGATAACGTATGGAGCTCCGCCTTTGCACCCAAGGATCTTTTCAACTGCAGTCGTCTGCTCCTTGTTAAGCGTACATGAAATAGGTGCCAGTCTGGCAGCTTGTATATGTCTTGCTCTGGATATGCCTGATGGAAAGAGAATTTCTCCATTTAAGCTTTCTGTAGCTTCAATGGCTTGGTGTAACCTCCGCACACTCGTACGATTGAATGCAAACTGCACATTATAAAGATTTCCAGCAACATGGTTGATGTGGAATTCTTTATCAAACTTCAAATACACTTCTTCCGCCTCAACTCGGTGGATATAACCCTGTGCAATAACCACCAAAAATCACCAAGTTCATGTAAATAAATTACTTCTTTTGATCTCTCGAGTTCAAGTATAAAATCTCACAGATATATGATTATTTCTCTTTTATCTGTACTTAAACCTCTTCTTATGCATATCTTAGACAAAGAGTGGAACTTTTAACATGTATCTGAGAAAGTTGCAATGCAAGTGTCATTGGACAAGGTAGGTGTGCTTTCCAGTAAAATAAATGAAAATGAAACTAAAATAAAGGGCAGCACAGTGCACAAATCATCCCGCGTTCATGCAGGATCCGGAGAAGGGCCACACCTCAAGGGGGTGTAATGCAGGCAGCCTACCCTGACGCAAGTATCAGTGGTTGATTGCATAACTCGAACCTGTGACCTACATGTCAGATAGAGACAACTTTACCGTTTCTCCCAGGGCCAAGTCTCCCCTTCATGAAAAAATGATATTAAAAACAGAAACAAAGCAAGGAAAGACTCGAGGAAGATAATCAATAGCAAAAATGCTGAAGCTCTACCACAACATCCGTAGCCGTAATGGCCAACATTCTTTCAACTTGGAAAAGCTACAGGTACCATGGATTTATAATTATTTTCACCAAATTATGCAGTAAAGAGAGCCTAAAATTATTAAGTAGCAAGTTATGATATAAACCAAAGCAAATATATGAAAGCACCTGATAAGGGGTGGTCTCACTTGCATCTGCAGTAGCTAGCCTTGCAAAGATATAATCCCCATAAACAAGTGACGGCCTCCTCTCAGCTAGCCCTGGGACATCAAGGGACAAAAATTGAGGCCCCCTTCGCTTCATGGTGGCGGACTCCATTTCATAGTCCCTCATGTCTTCCTGATGCAAAAAAAAAAAAAAAAACC